TCCCCTCACCAGAGGTAAACCCAATCAGCACCGGGTCACCGCTAAGACGGGCAGCTTGTCCCATAAGGGAAGGTGATGAGCCGAGTAAACAAATGGCACCAACCCGGCTGGACGGACGGGGGGACGTTTGGTCGGGGTGGGCGATGCAGGAGCGGCGCTGCGTTGCAGCCGCAGGATGAGCGGACGTAACCCGCTTTGCAGGGCCCCGGTCGCCAAGCGCTTAAACCCGGCTAATCTGATTGGATTAACACCAACCCGCACCAGCTCCACGTGCACGTGCGCATGCATTCAGAAAAACACTGACGCCGAAAGACACACACACACACAAACACGCAAACTACACTGTATGCCAATCAGCCTGCCTCTGCAGCTTCCTGGAGTTCATCTGGATTGTGCAGGCTGGCTGATGGCCCCCATGCTGAGCTAACAAATGCACGCGCATTTACGTGCGTGCGTGCACACACACACACACACACACACACACACACACAGCCATCTTAGTGAGCGCAGAGATTTGTGCTGTGAATCTGAAACAGACCTATTGAAAGAAGAGTAATGCCCAGTGCCTGACAACCGTGCTAATTGACTAGCCCCCTCCCCATTAATGAAACTAAACGTTTACCCCCCGTCCATCTTTTATCTTTACAATCATTCCCTGACAGCTCCCTTCTCTCTCTCTCTCTCTCTCTCTCGCTCTCCCCACACTCATGCCACCCTCTTCCTGGTATCACTCACTTCGTCACCTCCACCCCCCCCTTCTGTCGCCCTCTCCTTGGCCATGCTCTCGCCCCCCCTCCTCGCCCCTCTTATATGTAATCATTCATTAGAACCAAGGCAGTTGTCCATTAGGCAAAGCAGCCATTTTGGAAATTGCAGCAAATCTTCCATGAAAAGACATTTCCTCTAATGCGGTAGTCACGCTCGGAGGGAGAGGAGGACGGCGAAGGAAGACGAGTGGGCAGAGATGGAGAAAAAGAAGAGTTGGAGGAAAGTGAAGGAGAAAGATACCCCCCCTTCCCCCCGGCCATAAAGCCACCAAGCGGAAAGCAAGCCTGCTGTTTGATTATAGAGTGACACCATCAGGGAGAGAAGGAGGGAGGGAGGGATGGAAGGAGAGGGAGGGAAAGTGTTTCAGAGGCGAGCAGAAGGGGTGAGGAGGAGGGAGAGAAAAGAAAAAACAGGGAGCGATTCGAGAGGGGCCCGAGATAGAGGCAGTAAAATTAGCCCCATTACTTCACTTACTAAGACGCTCTATGACACTCAAGCATTAAAAACATACACGCGGACATGAGACGTGTGCACGGACGCACGTGCACGGGACAGATGGTGTCCCCCATCCGAAAGTGTGGCTCTAATTCGAGTAAAGTGGTAGACTTAACCGATAAGAAGCCCCACAGCCAAGGCCTTTAAGTCGGGGAGTGTGACTGTAGGTCTCACGCACTCATTAGTAGGTCTGTGTGTGTGTGTGTGTGTGTGTGCCCAGTGGGATTGCCGAAGAATACAAAAACTGATAAAAAAACAAAAGAAGTGGAAAATGACAAATCCACCTCGAGTGGCACGCCGGCGAGTATGTGACTTCTTCTCTCCCACAACGCCACCGTTCATCTCCATCCCATCGCATCAGCGATCAGAGGCAGACCTGTCGCCATTACAGAGCATTCGTCTCACTGCCGCCGCCGCTTAATGCGCCTCCTTCTGCAGCCGACGCATTTGTCACCAGACCGAACTGAGCGTAATCCATTTTAGCATTTACCCCCCCTCAGACAATGCGTGATATAGTGAAAACCACACTCCATCCAATTTCCTCAATGTCTCGAAAATGGCTTTATGGTCTCTTGAAGGGGAAACATTTCTGCACTAACTGTACACAGTGATTCAGACCCATCTGTTGAATCGATAAAGAACACAGCCATGACACCGGGGGTCTGGAAAATGTCACCCTAACAATACAAAGCAGTTCAATAATGGCTTTGGAAAATCCAGAGATGTTCTTTAAAAGGGAACTCTCATAAATGGAATTTAAACTCGTGAGCTGACGGGGCCGTTACACTGTGCTGAAAGGCACATAAACATTAGCAGGGCCGAAACTATAAAACGATTTGGATTAGTTGGTCTTCAAACGTTAAATTGCAGAAGTTTTGTTAATTGGTTTAAGTCATTTACTTTGGCATTCTTGGCTTCCAGGTACTCAAATGTGAATATTATTCCTTTCTGTTCTAGGACTATAAACTGTCCTTTGGCGGATTAGTCAGATGAAAACAGCTTTTTAAATGTCACATGCAAATTTGTGGAAAAAGAATTGTTTGTCGCAGGCCAAAATATTGCCACGTATATTTGTTTCCATAATCAAATAAAAGCAAAAATCAACATGACATCAACCTGTGAATTGGAACTCGTATTTATGGGCTGGAATCCAGCTGAGGGGAAACACTCCCCATCCGTATTCTGCAGCATTTTTAAGTGTTTGTGCTAAACTCACTTGACAGCTGGCAGAGAACGAGACGCTGGATCTCGACGCCGAAACGGCTCCGGCTGCTGCGCAGTGCAGGATTTCTAGATCGAGCTCGTCTCATTTTCTTCTTCTGTTGCTGGCGTCCATCAACACAACCACAACCCACAACGCCTGCGAGGTGTGTCAGACGCGTCAAAGCCGCCGCCTGTTTACCTCCTCCACGCCGCACAGCTGATCTCTGAGCTGTGCGGCGCGAGAAATCCCTCAACGGCCCGCTGTCAACACGCACACACACACACACACACACACACACACACACACACACACACACACACACACACACACACACACACACACACACACACACACACACACACACACACACACACACACACACACACACACACACACACAATCTTTTCCCAACCTTTCTGTAGCCTCTTCACCACACTGTCCCGTCCCACCTGACCCTCTGCGGCCCCCCCAGGACAAATGTCCCTAAACAAGCATTACCACGGTGATGGAATAGACAGACACAATACGGGACACAAGGACGTAAACATGCACGGACCGGAGGATGTGTTAAAAATAAAAAAAATAAAAAGGGGGGGGGGGCATGAGACAGAAAAAAGGAGAGAAAATAAGAATGGAAACCAAAAGTATGATTTCTACAAATCTCCCCATTGCAGCGATATGCTTGTCTCTCCTGTGGAAGTGGCGCTGTGTGTAATGTGGAGCAGCGTTGTTTCTCTTCGGGGGGCTATTAAGCGCATGGTCCCTTGTTTCTCCTGTCAGAGAATGAGTGGATAGTCGATTATACCGGAGGCGGGGGGGGGGGGGATCCTCTCCACGATGCATGCATACCCAGTCCTCTCCTCTCCCAGTCCGCGCCCTCTTCAGGTGCGCGTGAACAAACACCGGAACACACACACACACAAACAATTTCAGGCACTCCCGGAGTGATGAAGGGCTGTTTATCCTGCTTCCACTGTGATATCTCAGCTCGCCATGCAGAAGGGCCGGACACGTTATCACCTCTGACCAGGGGGAAACCCGGAGAATCAGGACAGACGCCAGCAGCAAATACCAGCGCTGCAGTGTGTGTGTGTGTGTGTGTCCCAGCAGTAATAATCACCCGGATTAGAGTGGAGCCAAACCCCCGCAGGGTCCCCCCCTCTCCCCCGTCCCCTCCCCCCCACCGACACAGCCCTGCCTGCAGTTCTGATCCCCAGTTGGAGCAGCTATGGGAAGCAGAGCAGCCGGTCTGACACCCCCATGCGCCCGGCTGCCAGACAGAGGCAGAGAGGCGGAAAGAAAACACCGCTTTCTTCTCCTTCTTTTAAGACATATAACTGCATTTTTCCACCCCAAACATACTATTAACACATAGCAAGCTCAAGCAATACAAATAAGCATAACACATTCAATAAGCGTAGCCTCTAAACACAAGGGTGCAGTGAAATGGAAGCTGATACGGCCGTCGATATGTCTGCGTGAGGGATGCAATGTGTTGGCAATAACAATGGGGAGGCGCGCAGAAGGAATGGGTTTATAGCCTACAACTTAATAACAATGCATGTCGGGATACCTTCGTCAACGTCAACGCAGGGGATTATTGCTGTGGATGGAGCTGCCTGGACGTGTCGCACTCGCATGCTTGAAAAAAAAAAAAAAAATTCAGCCCAAAAGCGTCAAAGAGTGTTATTCAGCGCAGAAGAGCAGGGCGCCCTGATGTTATTAGCAGCCATCAGCGTTTGACAGAGGCACTGCTGAGCCTGCCGGCGAAACGTCTCTAAACGTTTGGTCTCTCAGCATCTGCCATCAACCCGCCGTCTTCATCCTTGGAATTCTCCTTATGAAATCAAAACCGCAAAGTGAGGAGAAAGCCCCGTTGACGTACGACCAACCAGAACAACCAGGTGCATCCGTTTGGGATCCTGTGGGGAACTTTCACGCGTCTGTGGTATTCAGTTATAATGCTGCAATAACACCACTATAATTGCCTCGTGCTGAAGGGTGTCTGCTCTGGTACCACTGATCCATCCACATGTCACGAGTTGCACCAAAATGACTGGAGCGGTCTGAAGTTCAGATGTATTGAGAGAAGAGATGCGTTTGCAACGTACCATTAAATTAGGCCTCGGAAACTGCATTTAAAAGCGGGTTTCCACGACCTGAAACCCGTTTAGAGGAGATAGAAGGATTCAATCATTTCGTGGAGTTCCGTTTAATTGAATTAGAATGGATTAGATCTTTTTTTTTATCGGATCCTAGACACACTTTCTCTGTACGGCTGAGTGAGATTACAGTGACCTCGTTGTGCCTTCAGGTGCGTTTTCCCTCCTGTGGCATCACCGCAACTCTGCTTCGTTAGTGGGGATGTAGTTCAAAAGTTTTGCAGCTTAAAAATGGGACATTTTCTTTCAGACCACTAACTTATCGAGCGTTACACGCACTTTTTTGAAATTCTTCACGATCAGATGTTCCAAGCGAGCGATCAAACATCTCGGAGCGCATTTCATTTCGCACATAAAACACATATATTTACCTCAGGTTCTTCTGTTTGTTCTCCTTCTTGTTGAGGACCCCCGGCACACAGTTGGTGAGCTCGGTCCAGTCGGCGTGCAAGCCGCAGCTCCAGCCGGTGGAGAACCGGGAGAAGAGCCAGGTCTCCTTGCGGTTCGGCCGGTAGCAGGTACACTTCTTCTGGCCCGGTCTGCAGTCACAGGGGACCTCCAGGCGGACATTCTGGACCAGGTGTCTCCCAAAGGTGGTGCCGCCGGTCTTCTGGATGTGCAAAAACACGATCACGTCCTCCCCTTTGATTTGGAAATCGATCGTCCTCTCCAGGTCCCTGACGGGGAAGTAGTATTTCTTGACGTAGTGGGGGTCCGGAGTGGGGAAGATGTCCCCCTCGTCCTCCTCCGTGAAATAACCGTGCGGGGAGCCGAAATTGATCACCCCGGGGGCCACGTACTGATAGAGGATCAGCATGAAACACACGGATCCGACGACGATCAACAAGAATTTGCTGCTCCTCTCGACCATGTTCCTTCCAAGTGCGGCTCCGGCAGTACGCTACCATTTCCCGGTGAAGCCGACCACGGGGAGCGGGGCGCTCGGCTCCGGCATTCTCTCTCCTCCCTCCCCGCCGAGAAGAAAACTCGTTTCAGGGGGGGGGACTCAAGAGTGACTCACTCCGCTCGGAGACGACCGCTGAAGTTGGCTCATGGTGCTCACCGGGACCGCTCAACACCGTGAAAGACGCATTGTGACTCGCTGAAAGCACAACACCGCCGCCGCCGCCGCCCCCCTCAACCAACCACCAACCCCGCGTCACTACCCCTCCTCGCGGGCGTCCCTCCCCCGTTTACTTTAACTTGGGTTTCCAGTCAACACAACAGGCTCACCGCATCAACCGTGGAGCTGTTTACCCAGGATGCAGCGCGAACCCTACCTTTTCAACGTCTCTCGCGCTCGCGCTCGCGCTCTCTCTCTCTCTCTCTCTCTGAAAAGGAGTGAAAAGGAGTCACTTTAATTTATTGGTTGACACGTAACGACCGCGTCATCCCTCAGTAGCCAATAGCTATTGGTTTTGCAGAGATGATTCAGGATTCAATATACGTATCGTCATTGTGTGTAGTTCCAATGTACAATTACACGCTTATGTTGCAGTGTCCTCCTTCCACATAATTACAATACCACAATAAAATATAACAAATATATAAAACATATCATGCATTAAGCATACAGATAAAGTGCAGAATGCGTTTGTCGCAAATATTACATGTAGAATTGGTGACATAGATCAAAACATAGCTCTTTACACAAACAAATAGTTGGATTCATTAGTTGAATGCAATTCATATGCAATTTAACCCACTTGTTTTAGATGTGACGGTACTTGGTCTAGTAGTGTGTCGTGGCTATTTCTAAGCGTGTAACAGATATGTTCTTTGGATACATGGCTCTAGCAATTAGAAAAGACATTTGAAGTTAGGTTACGATATCATTGTTTAATATCTAATACCCTATTTTTAATATTTGAATGAACTGTCAATTCTACATTGAACCTTCATCGTTCATCTTTTTTTGCTCTATTTGCATCAGAAACAAACTCAAAAACAAAGTTAGAAATAACCAAAAAAAAACATTTTGTACTCCCAGTACTCCTTTTTCTTAACCAGCGGGGCACTCACAATCTGCTCTTTGTAAAGACATAATGTAATTCAAAATAAGTAATCCAAATAACTAGAGACTGAATTGAGAACAAACATCAGTAAAACAAGATAGATAGCTAGATAGATTGATACTTTATTGATCCCTCAAAACAAACCCATTGTGCTGAGATAAATTAAATAAAAAATCTATTGAAATGCACACAAAGGACATTAAGAGTCAAATTAGTCACTCGTTCGTTAAAAAATCACTGAATTATTCCCTTGGAATGCATTTTTCTTATTCTGATTACAAGAAAATCCAAATATCAAAATAAGCTCCAAGCCACTAAGTTTTCCAGAAAGCTTCAGTGTCTGACAACCATGAGATCAACCAGCAATGCCTGCGGGTTGACGTTGCTTCTCGCCTCGCTACCGCTGGTGGTCAGCACTGAGACCTGCTGCTTCTTCTTTAATGCATCCTAGCAACTTGTCAGGCATATTTATGTTATTCCCAGGGGCGATTACTGTCGAACATGTTCTCCCTAATCACATCTAGTGCAATAGCGAGACATGTTTTCACTGCTGGATGTTGCTCTGATAAGACCAGCTCCGCCAAAGCTGACAGTGGGTGCTTTTTTTTTTCACCAGCACCCCTGTGGTTTTGCTGCAATTTCTCTGGCATTTGTTATTGCAGATGTTTATTGTGGTAATAGAGCAGAGCAAAATGGCTGGCTTTGCGTAATGTTAGTAAGCTACTAGGCCTGATTCACACATGTTTCCTAAATAAAGCTAAATCAGTAAGATCAGCCCAATCAGCAGGCCTGGGGGTGTGAAAGCAGCAGTTGGTTGTGGCTGATCGCAAATGAGGTTGGTAAGGGATGAGGGTGTATTTTCACTCTGAGTGCTTTGGGTTGATGATGTGTGATATGTGTTTAGTCAGGCTGTAATTGCCAGTGTGCTTATTCCCCGTCTCAACTTGCACGATTTCCCAGTTGGATGTTGCCAACCTCCTCCCCAAACCTTTCATGACTTATCAGGTCATTTTTAGGTGGACCAGATGTTCACGGTTACCAAATACATTGATTCTTCAGTAACAAATAACCCTTTCAGTGTTTTGCTATGACTTGCATTTCCCTCTGATCCTATTAAAGGAAAAACAACTCATTACCATTTATTAATGGTTTAATGGTTTAATTAATTAATTATGCTTTCTGTTTGTAACATTGCAGTTAAACCCATTCATTAATTCACACTTTCAAATTTCTAAGGAACTTTTTACAACCTGACAACTCAAAAGTTATGGTTTTAAATTACTTGTTTCAGATCTCTAACTAATCAGTGAATGATTTATAATCCAGTAAAAAGCGGAATGATTTCAACTTACAAACTCTTTATAATGGGTGGGTTTTGAGAAAGTGGTTTCATATTTTGGTTTGGGTGTTAATCTTTCATCCAGCCACCGAACCAGACTATTGCTGCCAGATTTCTAAAAAAGATGAATATACCCAGATTCAACATCTACTTTTACAGCTTTATTTATTTACTCAGCGTAAGCCCAAGGCCATGTAAGCAAGATCCAGACCCACAGTGGGTCAAATGGTTCGTTCTGATAATATGCACCAAGGAAAACCAACTCTTACTGATTTAATTATGTTGTCAAAACATTTTATTTGACTTGTGCACAACAGGTTGAGAATTCTGAGTAGTGTTTGGCACTTACACCACATGGTAACAAAACATTTGAATGGAGCGATGAGTCCTATAAGTAGAATAGGAATCCATCTCTGAAGTGTTGATACTGATGGAAAAAAAGAGAACGCTGAACATCTGGGTGTTGTGAGGAGTGATGAGCTCACCCGGGGGGCACAGCAGATTATGACTGGAGGTGAACATGGCGCAGGAGGGCACGACGATTTCGCCTGAGGTGAAAGCTGACCGAGCAAACGAGAGGAGAAACAGATTTTGAAATTTGACAGCAGCGATTGGATTGCAGGTCGTGGCGAGATCCGGTTGGTTTAACTGGAAGAGTGAACTCATCATCAGCTGTAGGTTGGACTTTCAGATGATTTGCACTTTAAAATGTCTGGAAATGGTCACCGGTTCTGCGTGAGTCCACGTGTGCATCACCCTGACCTCGTCACACCAGTGGCTAAGTACATTTGCTGGATGATGAACCTCCTGCTCCGGCTAAGTCTTGTGTTTGCACTGTTTTGCACCTTGTCCCAAACCCCTCTGAGATAATCCCGGCCCGACTGAGAGCTGAGCGGCTGAGGTTCTACCAGCGCCTGCGAGGCCGGCCTCCGTTTCTTGAATAATCCCGCTCCTTATTTACATCTTCTTCGCTTACACTAAAGCAGCATCCGCCTGTCACGCCGCTGTTAAACAAACGCGTGATTATGACTTCTGCCTCGCCCCCCGGCGTATTAAACATTGAGGGATTTGTGAGAGTGTGAGCGTGTGTGTGAGTGCGTCTCGCTGTGTTTTCCAGACGGAGAGAAAGCGACTGAGGATTTTGGAACGGCGTGGTTGTGAGTGTTAAACTCTATGACAAGAAGTTTTGTGTGTCTGTTTTTCTCTCACCATGCGCAGTGTCATTACGAGCGGCGTTACTTAAAGAAGATGGATGTCACAGAGCGTGTTGCCCTCTGGCTCGGGTGTATTGATATGACAGTCTGTTTATCATCAGCACCAGTTTATTGTTGCTTTTGCATAATGATCCTGTTTGGACGGATATTTTCACTCTGTTTCCAGAGGCTTTGAGCGGTGAACAATGTCCTGCCTCAGTGTCTCACACGCACGCATTGTCTCTCTTTGTTCCATTTATGCCTGTTATGTATTTCTGGGATCATTTTTCACCAATGAAGTTTGTGTTGTAATAATGAAAAAAGAGTCACATATATTCCATCATAGGATGAAACACACTGAAACGCACAATGAGGAATACAAATATGTGCATTTGTATGAGGCCCGTGGAATGCCCCCAATTAAAATGCTAAATATATTAATAGATAAACAGGTGGTCAGTGGATTATAGCTGGTTATCATGTTGACACGAGCTAAACAGAATTCATTGATGCCGCTAACATCTTTGTCTTGATTTTTAGGAAATTGCTCTCAGCTTGCTAATGTTGACCCTGTACATGCACGCACACATGCACACAAGCACACACGCACACACACACTTACACACACGCAGACATGCCCCGTCTGTTTGTGCTTTATTTTTCATTCAGTCAGCAGCTAGGGCCGGATTACATTGAAGAAAAAGGCAAAAACAAAAGCCAATAGGGTATTTAAACAAACACACAGACACATATACACGCACACAAACACACACAAAGAAACCCCACACAGCATATTTTGTTTGCACTTTCTGCTTAAACAGCCAAAAATTGATGCCAAATAATTACTGTTTTCATCGTTGGACCCTGAAGTTTTTCAGACACAAATATTTTCTTTGGATGTGCTCACTGCAGAAGGAAAACATAACTGGGCGCCATCTAATTCCTGCATTCCAATGTCTAGTTGTGTTGGAATGTGTGTGTGTGTGTGTGTGTGTGTGTGTGTTTGTAAATTCTTTCAGATGGAATTTCCAGGAGCATCCGCATGTGAATGAGCTCCTTGTGGATGTTAACGTGTGCATGCAGGTGTGCATTTGCATGTTCTGGGATTTACATGTCAGGATATTGTCTGTCCGTACAAGTGAGTCTGCATTTGTGTAAAAGAATAAAGTGACCGCAGCCCGACTCTCTCGTGACGGTTTAAGCACCAGAAGGTCAGAAAAACATTGTTGTTTTGGTGATTTTTGTTCAATATTTGACGACGCTCTTTCTCCAAACTTTTTCAAGAGCTGCAAGTGTTTAAATAAAACAATAAAAGGGGTGACATCTGGACATTGTACTGCAAGTTAATACTGTAATAGAATGACTGCAGATACATGACGTGATGCTAGGTGAAGTGAATTGAATCGCTTATGTCGGCACCAGCCGCCCTCATCTCTCTCAAATACACAAACTCCTAACAGCCCAACACCTGGTGCTGGTTCGGCGTTCACTTAGTTCACTTTCTTATGTTAAATTATGTCTGCGCTGCTGGCGCACACGCACACACACACACACACACACACACACACACACACACACACACACACACAGCAGTTGCCCTCCCCTTCGAGAGTGACCATTCAGGAAAGGTACAAACTCTTTGTCGGACGACACCACTTCGTTTCAAGCATAATTCAGGCTCCCGCTTCCTTGAGTCGTTGACCTCACGCTTCCTTCTGTGAGTGTGTGCGAACACATTTA